CCCACAACGTGCGGGGCTCCTCATCTAGTTTTTATAACAAAAGATCATTTCAAGTATATATATATATATATATATATATATATATATATATATATATATATATATATATATATATATATATATATATATATATATATATATATATATATATATATAACTTATTTAGATTTTATAAAATATTTTTCTATTTAATATTTTTTTACAAAATTTTCTTACATCTTATGTTACACTAACTTTAAAAGTTATATTATTAAATAAATACTATAATTAAACAAACATTTCATATATAATTAATTATATTTTAGTAATAATACCATTCTTTAATTAAACAAAAGTGTTACATTAAAAAACATTTAAATATATTTGAAATTGTATTTAAAATATAATTATACAATTAAATTACTTAAAATTTATAAATTAAAACTTGAACTAAAAAAGGAATAAAACTTTAACATCAAATTTGGAGTTAATAAAAATTATTACACGCTATTCATCCTACCAAATTTAGTGTATAAAATAATAAGTTAATGAATATTTATAGTATCGTTACTATCTATTTAGTGTAGAAAACAATAAGTTAATGGATATTTATATTATTTGAATGTTGGGTTGAAAATACACTTATCTACTTCAATCTAAGTAACACTATAATCTACACATCCATTATTGAATTTAGAAGGACCAAAATGCAGTGAATTTTTTCATAGAGGATTAAAAAAATTAGAAAAAATAAAAGAACAAACAAACGAGCATTATTTAATGCCGATGTTATATTGATGGTAGAACAGTCGGTTAAAAATATAAAATTATCAAGGCTAAACATGATTCTACAAAGTGTAGGCCTAGGGATGAACATTTGGACTGGAGAATCGACCGGAACCAAGATGATATTTTTGTGGATTTTTAGAACCGGAAACCGGTAGAACCGACAAAAACTGGTAAAACCGTATATTGCTATTTCTCAAGGACAGATTCCAAGATACAACAAGAACCGGTAGAAACCGAAACCGGTAAAACTGACGGTCCGGTTCGGTCCTATTTTTCACCAAGTTCAGTTTTCGGGCCAGTTCCGATGGTCATCCCTATGTAGGCACATGTTGTAAAAGTTTCTAGAAAGTATAATTTATGCTCCTGCCAAATAATAACATTTTAACAACTTTAAGGGCCAGTTGTAACTCCAATTACTTAAAAATTAAAATCTCCACAAAACAAACTGGGACAAATTGCTTAGACAAAAATCCCACCTGGTTTATGACCCCAATAAAGCCCCGGTCTGCTATCATAAAATGTGGAGCCATAAATAAGAAACCGAGTATTTTCTTCTCTGCCCATAATCCGGCCCATGTCCCACCAAATATATGGAAATCAAAAAAATCATTCACTTTGTCTACCTATTTGGATTTGGAGTAGATATCCTATAAGTTCATACAAATATATGGAAATCAAAAATAACATTCACTCTCTCTACCTATTTGGATTTGGAGTAGATATCATACAAGTTCATACAAATTACATGATCATAGGGTGAAAGGTTCATGTTGGTGGTAGCGCGATTGTGAAAAAAGAAAACTCATGTTATGGTGAGAACTTAAAAGACGTTTTCTAAAAATAAAAGTTAATATTTTGTCTTCTAAAAACATCACGCATAAATTTTTATGTTTTCGATCTTCTAAAAAACAAATGACTTTTTTGATTTATTGTCTACTCGACCTCAAACATAAGAGGTGTCGTAGACATGTTTATAAAAAAGCAACACCTAATAGGTTTGAAATGCTTGTAATTTAATTTTTAGAAAATGAATATTTGTCAAAACAGATTTCTTGTAATTTGGTTAGATGGAGAATAAGTTCGGTTTCTACTTGTTTCTCTTTGACTGTAGCCACGAGGTTGGATAAGAAGAAGTGCAACTGTGCAAGCTGGGATGTACCTTACTTTATGTTATTTTTTAGAGTAATTGGAAGGCAAAGAACTCAATGCTCTTCAAGAATTCAAAGTATTCTTCTATGCAAAACCAAAACGACTAATGAGATTCCACTTATCTCTTTTAATTGAGTTAAGCTTAGATCCAAGTTTTATTCTTTATGTTGACATGACCGGTGTATTTCTCCGATTATTACTTGTACATGGTAATTTCTAGCGTATTCGCTATTCAAAAAAATATAGTTACTTTTTTTTTTATGAATTTAACCCCAATCACTAACGGCATGGGGCGTTTCTTAACGTATTACTATATTTCTCAACAATTATTATAATCACATTTATTTATTTTTTCTATAAAAACCAATATCATTTGAATATGCACTTTAATAAAATAATATTTGATCCATAATGAAACCTAAAAATAATACCCTTAAAACCATATATAGTATACTCATGTAAAAAAATATCAAAACATTTTGTAGGAATAAATTTATTAGATAATATCCGAGCAAAATATACGGAAAAACTTTGTGGAATTTCTTTGACATGTATAGTAGAAATATTTGATTATGTATGTGTGATATATCTTACAGAGATAACTCATAAAAATATACAAAACATTTTTGTATCCCGATTTTGGACAATATGGAAGATAAATGTTTATAACACGTCTACCCAATATTTATAACACGTCCAAATAATTTATAACACGTCTACCCAATATTTAACATGATATTTGGGTAAACCATGTGAATCCATAAACAATGATATACATAAAATCAACCCAAACAAAAACTTAGTACATCTAAACTTTTACACACAAACGGCATGGGGCGTTTCTTAACTTACTACACATTACTCCACTTCTATAATGGCCTACATGTATCATTTATATATTTCGGTCATCATGTATATCGGTAAAGTCTTGTGTGACTTCTAACATTCTAAAATAGTCAATTCAATGCTAAGGAAAAATGTACACAAGGTAGACACAGTAAAAAAACAATATTTTAGACATAAAGTATTGTGAGATACATAAGTTTTAGACACAAAACTTTATATTACAATATTTTAAATAAATCATCTTCCTTAAATCACTTTTTTCTAATTTTAACATTTACAGTCATATTCAAGCAAAATAGACAATGTTACGAAATTCGTGACCCATACACTCACAAGGTTTGGGGACTTCATACCCTTTCTACTTAACACACCAACTCCTATTTGTTGGGGCGTTCATGCCCCTTGACACTTTGATTCCTTATCATGCACAGAGAACTAATCAATCTATAACGACAATGTGGGACATACTGCTACATATACATTTTTTTTGTTAAACCTAGTGCAATATAACAAATAATGAAACATAAAAGATGATATTTAACTCTTCTGAAGACGGTGCTTGGTTCTCTTCATACTTATTATATGTATGTCTATAAAGTTCCTATGGGTATTCTCTTTAATTTTGAGTCCCTTAGGAGTAAGTTCTTTTTGTTTTTGGGTGCTAACACGAAAGAAAAGAAGATGACTTGGGTTAGTTGGGAGAAAGTTTTGTATTCTAAACAAGATGATGGCCTTGGTGTTAATAATTATTTGTTGCTTTTAATATGACTTCTTTTTTAAATGGATTTGTTGCTTTTAATATGCTCTTCGTGTTTGGGTGGTCAAATCCATTAATGGTTGCCATGGTTTTGTAGATCGCGAACCTCCTTAGGATAGGACTTCGGTTTGGTTAGACATCATCAATTTCACAGTGAGTCTTGCTAAAAAGATGTGGATTTAATGTCTAAATGTAAGAGGGTGTCGGGGGAATGGCTCGTGTTTTTTTTTTTTGGTAGGAGTCGTGACTAGGGGATATTTCTTTCGACGTGCCTTTCCCCATATTGTTCATTTTAGAGTTAAATAAGGATGTGTCTGTTGCAACAAAAGCTTAGACATATATCATGGAGCTAGACTTTTAGAGGAACCCCATTGGGAGAGGGCGAGAGTAAGCAAAGAGAGGCTCTCGGTTCTATGTTTCTCTCATGTTATGTGTCTTCTATTATGGATAAATGGGTTTGGAATCATGAACATTCTGGATATTTTTTTGTTGAATCTACCCAACAATTTGTGGATTCAATTCTTCTTCATTCCACTTCACTGCATACTAGACGGGTTAAGATTGTTCCTATCAAAGTGAATGTCTTTGTTTGGAGACTGATGCAACTTGATAGACTCCCTACCCGGTTTAATATTTCTAGGAGGGGTATGAACATTACTTCTTTGAACTATGTTACTTGTGATGATGGTGTAGAGTCGGTAATCATTTATTTTTTTCGTGGACAAAATTGCAAAAATGATCTCTGTGGTTGACAAATTTATGTGTTTTTGGTCCAAAACGAAATGTTGGTGCACCACTAGTCCAAAATTAGATCTTTCTATTGTTTTTGGTCCATATACACTTGAAATGACGATCTTGCCATTATAACTTATATTTTTAATTTTCTTTAATTGATGAAACACATATGTGTATTTTTTTAACTTAAAAAATAAAATAAAAGGGGGTCTACCCACCATTTCTCTTTCCCTCTCTCTCAACAAAAACGCACACACTCACTCAAGAAAGAACATATCACCACTATTGGCCGCCATCATCACCACCGATTGCTACCACTGTTCGCCACCATCACCATTGACTGCCACCATTATCCACCATAAACATCCAATCGCACCCTCACCCCCATCTTTCCTTCCCCATGCCCGATATGACTTTCCCATCAACACTACACTTCTAATCGATTGGATATGTCCTTACCTAAATGTCGTCACCACCATCTTTCAACGATTAGGGTTTTTAGCCGCCATCACCATCTCCTTAGCATTGTTCGACAGAGGAGCTCCGCTTTTCATCGCACCACCCAAATCCCCCATCGTGTAACCCTAAATTTTTTCCAACATTACCCCTGTAAACCACTGTTCTTGTCGGTGATGAAGGTTAGATCGACATCCCCTGGAGCAGATACTAACGACAATGATGGAAGATAGATCGATTTGGAAATGACGATAATGGTATGAGGGAACTTTAACTTTATCAGTGGTTTATGGTTCTCAAGATCCACACATATAAATGGGGAAATGAGAAGAAAATCATGTGGGTGGGTCTAGCTGGTGACGGAGGAGAGATAAAGCAAGCAGGGGTGGTCGGAGCTAGAGTTTGGTCTCATTTTCAGCAAGGAGGAAGGTCGTCTGATAATGGTGGCGATGTCTAAAATCTGAAATTAAAAACAATGGGAGGAAAAGACAGTGGTATAGAGAAATAATGTTTAAGCTTGAGAAACCAAAGTGAAAACGATTTTCAGATTCGATTTTAGTGGAAATTTCGATGTGGACTTCGATTTTCAGATTGAAGTTCACCAGGAAGCACCGTTGTGGTCAATTGACTCAGTCATCAACAACTCCATCGAACTGGTTGGAGGTCGATGCAGGTGGAGAAGGAAATGGGCGAAGATGGAGGTTTGGGATGAAAACCGTCTTGAAGGCCGATGAAGATGCAGACACTGGAAAAATCTCCATCGGAAAAGCTTGCTCCAGCAAAGTCGACGTCGGTAAAGCCAAGGTTCAAGCAAAAGATTTGGTGGTGGTGATGTGAGTTTGAATTTGTTTTTGGTGCTGATGGTTCCAATTGGGAAGATAACATCAGAGAGAGAGAGAGAGAGAGAGAGAGAGAGAGAGAGAGAGAGAGAGAGAGAGAGAGAGAGGTTTATTTTGTTTTTGTTTTTCATTTTATTATAAGAATAAGAAAATAAATAAAAGAAATTAAACTATAATTATTTAAGGGGCATATTAGTCATTTTAGGTGGGATGTGTACCAAAAACACAAGAAATACAACCATAGGGATCAAAACCACATAAAATATCTAAATTTTGACCAATGATACACCAACATTTCGTTTTGGACCAAAACTACAAAATTTTACCAACCACAGGGACCATTTTGCAATTTTGTCTTTTTTCGTGCCTTGTTAACCCTGTTAGAAATGATTCTTAGTTGGTTGGGGTAGGCGTGCCTCTACTTTATCTTTCATCGACCGAAGTTCTTGGTTTGACGATCTTTGGTTAAGGAAGGTGTGCAAAGATATCTCAGAACGAGGTTTTTTTTGTATCTGGCCGCATATCTCGTTGTTTTAGAATAAATCATTGTTTGGGAGTAACAAACCCAATAAGTGTCATCTTTTTGATGATATCGTCTCACCTTCGTTTCATTGGTGTTACAATAGATCTAAGCAAAGTTTAGTTGGGTGTTGTGGCTCCAAAATCTTTTGTTAGCCATTATGTAAGTTGTTTGTTTTTGTTCTTTCGGATATTTTTGCCTAGCTCTTTACGAGTGCTTTTTTATTTATATATCTCTTATGCCGTAAAAAATTATATATATGATATTTTAAAGTAGAAGTATTATAAGCGAGATATTGCGGACTTTGAAATCCAATGAACATTGCCAATATCCATAAGTAAAATTATCAAAACTCAAAAAGTTATAAGATATAAGATCATAATGTTGTCATTTTGTCTAGAACACAGAGAATTTAGACATATTTGATGTTGGGATCAAGAGATTTTTTAAATAGTAAGGTGCAAATAGGAAATAAATTAACATTATATAGCGTCCGGTTTTAGGTCCGGAATCTAAAACGTCCTTATTTCGGTGTTAATGATCGTTGCGGTAAATGAAAAAAAATATGATCAAATATATGAGAAATTAAATTGATTCCTACCTTTTATGCCTACAAATGTTCCTACCCAATAAAATTATGACAAATGTCATCATTCCATATTTTTTTAACTAACTCATTAAGGCTATATTAGGAATATATCAATTACAATTAAATTGAATAATTATTTGTCATAATTTTAGTGGGTAGGAATAATTGTAGGCATAAAAGGTAGGAGGTAATTTAATTTCTCCAAATATATTTATTCTATAACATCATAACATCATGTGATAATTTTGTGAGTATTCTTAAATTAAATTATAGCGTAATACATACAATTTCATATATGTTTCGAATTTAATTTAATTTAATGTTTTGTTTAAATTAAAAACAACAAAGATCAAATTGTTGATTTATAAATATTAAGTTACTAACGTGGGGCAATGGTTATTGTATATCGTCATATATCAATTATCACATGATTATTTATAAGTAAATTGCCCACTAGCATTTGGTAAATGATATGCCCAACCACCTCTTTCCAATCACTGCTAAATCATTTTAAGTTTATAAAATTGATTTGGTGATCAAATTTAGCACTCTGTTTTAATACATTTCAAGATTTATATACGTTAGTAATTTAAAGATCATGTATACGTATAGTCTCATACTCTCATGGTTCATAGTTAGTCTAATCATATTACGTATAATTTACTAAAATAAAAAGTGAGATCGCATAAATTTAGTATACGTATAATTCATAAAGAAATGTCAAAACTACATGTTATTAATGGAAATGTTGCACATCCAATGAATATTGGATTTTTTCCCCAACTTTGTCGGTGGTCAATAAAATTGCATCCGAACGGGCAGTAAAGTTTTCTCTAAAACAAAATATAAATGAATATTGTATTGTTATGGGAAGTATATGAAGTTTTTAATTTTTTTGGGAAAAAGAATTTAGTAAGTTTCAATTTTCTTTAAAATTGAAAATTCTCGATTATTTAATTTTATATAATAATTTATTATTTTGTATTAAAATAAAAACAATAATTTTTTTTCATTAATTTGGATAAAATATTAAATAATCGAAACTTTTTTACTAAATTTTTTTAAGACTTTATTAGAGTATACGCTGTGGGTCACAACGAGAAACGAATTGACTGAGTTGGCACACGAAAACAACGTCATGGCACGGGGAACACCGCCCCCCAACTTGTTGAAGCTCGTTATGGCACGTGCTCGTTACCACATATTGAAACAAGAATAGTAACCAATCAAAATCATTTTCCTACCTCTTTTTCTCTTTCTCTTTCTATCTTTTTCTACCTCTTAACAAGTTATAACATTAGAATACCATTTCCTGCATAGTGTTATGGTGGTGTTAAAGTTGATGTGGCATGTAAAATGACGTTATAACACCAGCTCATACCCGATGTTCTTAAAAAAAATCTCAGAAATAATAAATATTTCCCATATTGTTATTATCAAAATATGTATATATATTTCGTATTAATATAAGACTAACAAACTATCGTTTTTTATAGATAAAGTATCAACAAAGATATTGAACTTAATAGTTTCAACTTCTTAATGACTACAAGAAAGCAAAATTATTTAACCATTTAGAAACGACTCCAAAATTTTTATTTTGTTTAAATGCGGTGCCAAACATACGGGATATTAACGTCTAATGGTTCCATTAATGAGTTACCAAACAAATCTCGAAAAAAGATTTGGTGTGACTTTCTTTTACAAATTTTTGTGCTTTATTTATTATTATTATTATTATTATTTTATTTTTTTTAATTTTTTTTTGACTAAAAGGTAATATATAGTTATTATGTTATGGGCTATTTTCATAAAAGACCAAGTATTCATAGTTTTTATTCCAATAAAAAACATCAATAAAAAAGTTCATTTTCAAAACATCAAATCCATACACTATTTGTTCCAAAATAAATCATGATAAAGTGTATCTCAAACATCATAATGGAAAAGTAATAACAATGCGGAAAAATCACTGGGGATATTGTGCAGTCAAGCCGGACCCTTTCCTTTGGAACTAGAAATACCTGGAAATGTTTAAATCACAAAACCATAAGCACAAAGCTTAGTAAGTTCCCCCAAAATACCACATATCATACATATCAATTGGCCCAACCCTAGGGGTGTATTTCAACCCTCTATGAATGCTATGATCCAACCATAGTCTTATAGTCACTTCAAGATTACAGCCCATCCATAACCTTCCTGCCATGATCCAACCATGGTCTTTCATGCAAGCACAAAGACAAACAAGTGTTGTGATCCAACCACAATATTTCATACAAATGTTGTGATCCAACCACAGTCTTTCATACAGGTGTAGTGATCCACCCACAAACTATCAAGCAGGAGTCATAGAGACAATCTAACAACCTACATATTATAGTGAGAAGACTTGTCTCAATCTGCAGACAAAATAATCTCACACCCGAGTTGATGATACTGGAACTCTCCACACTAAACATATCCACAATAAACCTAATTAACAATTAAGGTAATAACCTCCACTCAAAGAGTCTTGATTTATAGTTAATCCCCCTTGGGGAAAAAGACCATTTTGCCATTTCAAGACTAAACCCAACATAGCTGACCAAAAGTCAATTCAACCTCCTGGTGCTACACTCAACATAACACACTGCTTTACGCTCAACGTAAAGCTTCAGATGAAAAACAGGGAAAAACCAAGCTGTGCTAAGCGTGGAGCAAGCTACGCCTAGTGTAGCTCATGATACACAAACTTTCTATTAAGCTTTTAATACATAAGGAACAACCATCCAATTCTTATATCTGAACCCAAATAATGTCCTAATGGGTAAAGTCTATGAGTTACCTTTTTGCATTGCTAAAAAGAGCACAGGACCAAACCCTAAGTCCTTAAAACCACTTTTTTCTTAATAACTCATGCATGGATGGATATGAGTGGCCAAACTCTCATTTTTTAACTCACCAACTCCAAAAACATCAAGAAATGACATTCAAATGGTATGGAGTAACTACTCTTAAAGGCCAAGATTAAGGGACAAAAAGCATATAAATCCATGACCAAACTAGATATAACATGAAAGAACACCAAGATGGAAACTTTATACCTTATGGATGTGGATTATGGGGTGAAAAGTCTGGATCCACAAAGCTTGAAGCTCATAAGCGCTTCTCCAATTAACTCCTCTTTCAAAGATGCACACTAGAAGACTCTAAGGCCTCAAATCTCTCACAAGGTGGCTAAAGTTTCGAGATGACTGAATAAAGGGGGGGGGGGGGGGTGGAGGCCAAGCATGGAGAGGGTCTCAATAAGTTAGAGACTTTAAATGGGGTTTACAACCCCAAAATTAGGGTTTTTGTGTTGCGCACCTACGCTAAACATAACTCACTCTACGCTCAACGTAGGTCATTAAACCCCTGCATGCGATCATGTAACATCCGTTTTCAGGTATTTTTGATTCTAGCTTAATTATTAAAATCATTGAAAAATTAGTGTTGGATTAGGTGTCTAAGCCAACAACTAAATTAATATAATCTTGACTTATTAGCAAAGTCCTTTTGGATTGTCCTCAAACCTAGTCATTGAATATGATGACTTTTAGAGAGAGAGAGAGACTGATTTATTAATTTATTATATAATTGATAAATGGAAATAAATAAATTTATTAATATGTTATGGAAATAATATATTAATTAGAACTAGTAATATTTAATTAATAATTAATAAGAAATTAATTAGATTAATTTTGGGATTAATTGTATTAATTAAAAGTGCAAGGGTTAAAGTGCAATTGTTCAATAGTTGAATAAGAAAGAGTCCAGAACCTTCCTTGGAATGAGGTGGATGAGTTCTAGGGTATTTCAGGTTATCTAGAATATTCCTTACTGATAAATAGGAAGCTGGATAATT